CCCAAGGATCGTATGTTCTCGGGATATCCACGGGTGCTCATTTGCGTCCGCTAGCTACCAAGAGTGACTATATCCTGCACATGCCTTGTTTGACTCTTGCCTTTGGTCTGGTTGGGACCTTTTCCTAATAAACTGTTATATTTCACATTCGCTATTGAATCCTCCTTTTGTACCCGTGACATATATATATATATATAGGTCAGTGGCCCTTGGCTTGGTATTGTTGGCAGAATTCGTCCCTCGGCGAAAACTAATTGAGGAACCCTGCACTAAGCCTTGAATACCGCTCCGGAGCAGTATTTGAGATAGTGTGGATTTAGTGTGATACAGATTGGAGATGACACGTAAACTTCTGAATATAATCAGATTTTTTAAAAATCAGCAATTATCCAAACAATAACTGCTTTAGCCAATAAAACTTCCATTCATAAAAATAAAATAACAGTTGTATTTGTAATGGTTGCTAACAATCATGCTGAAACCAATTTCATTTGACATGTAGTTATAGGCATTTTCAGGTTTGTCACCATTACAGTGCCACCTAACTTAGCTTCCTCAAGTGTATGCTATATTTATGCTAAGCGTTCCTGAGGTTGCTGTTTTGGTCTCAAAGGGTCTGTTCATCTCATGTTTTTGTTTATTATTTACAATGAAACTTATGAGAAAAAAGCAATAAAAAACAACAACAACAGCAGCAACAGCAGCAACAACAACAACAACAACAACAACAACAACAACAACAACAACAACAACAACAATAATAAATTCTGCTTGATTGACACAAATATTTCTTCAAGCAAATTTGCTAATTAAACTTGGGTTTTCAATTAAAACAGGTTGAATTTTTTTTGAAAGGAAAAAGGTTGAAAATATTTTTTTCTAAATGTAACAAATGTAGTGCACCATAGGTGCTATGCACTTTCAGTGACAATGACATGGATCTAGTGGGTTTTCTCATTTACAGGATTGCTTGTTTAAGACTGATAAGGAAATTTTATTAGACATTCTTCAGTTGTGAATTTAATTAGATTTTTCACGTTCATTAAATGTATGGAGAACCAGTATAAATTCAGCACATTGGACAGCTCCCAGTGCTGAACAGACTGAATAACAGACATGTCACTTATTCTTGAGAAGTGGGACAAAACAGGGTGAAATATTGAAAAAATGAAATCCTTGTACTCGTTTTTTAAAATCTTACATATAGCTACTGAGCTATGCTTTGATTCAACCTCACAACTTTTCTCTTTTTAACATTTTATTTTTTTTATAACAAAATGTGCTTTCCTTGGAAAGTGTAATATAATTTTAACTTTATCCTTAACAGCAATCAAGATGTTTTTAACATTTCAAAACACATTCTCATGTTAGCAGACAGATTACATTTCACATGTTACCAACAATTTCTCAACAAATCTAAAATCTTGTACTCGTTTTTTAAAATCTTACATATAGCTACTGAGCTATGCTTTGATTCAACCTCACAACTTTTCTCTTTTTAACATTTTATTTTTTTTATAACAAAATGTGCTTTCCTTGGAAAGTGTAATATAATTTTAACTTTATCCTTAACAGCAATCAAGATGTTTTTAACATTTCAAAACACATTCTCATGTTAGCAGACAGATTACATTTCACATGTTACCAACAATTTCTCAACAAATCTAAAATATCATAATCAAATATTATCAAAATATTCATCTGACGGAGGTGACATAGACCTGACTGAGTTGACACATCTGACAGTGGTAACTAGCTAACTAGTTAGCTTCTAGCGAACTAGCTAGAAGTGATGACTATCAATCTACAAAAGCAATATATGCTGCTGTATATTTAGTAATTATACATTATAAAAAATAATACTATTTTATACTTAATGTTATTAAAAATGACTTGAAAACCACAAAAATATGATGAATTCACATTGAATGTCAACAACATCATTGGCCCATCACCACCGTCAGATAGAACATCTTACGGTGTTGACAAATTTAGCATTTCTTTCACAAAACAAGTTCATGCAGTAGCCATTTTGTTTTCTCTTTTGATGCTAGATACTAATAGAACCTGCTTCAGGAGGTTATCTAAAAAATTATCTAAATATTTCAAATAATTTCCTCTGAAATTGGAAGATGGTGTTGACATATCATGGTTATGACACAGGAACTATTAACATTAGGATTTAAAATATTCTAAAACTATAAAACTTACCAGAGCCTGTCTGACACTGATGTACTCTGCAGAGGTGGAATGTGGCAAAGGGGTCATTTAAAGTGACAGCTGCCCCTGATATACCCTAATTTTTTATTTTTTTGCATTTTAATGAATGTCTTAAAGTGTTGACAAAAAGTGGGGACACAACTTTGAAACCTTATGAAACACACGTGTCCTTAAAAAACAACCTTGCTTTGATATGAGATATCATTAAGTTTTGCTTTTGGTAAAACGAGCTCTTTTTCATAAGAGAAGCCACATTACAGACATAGCTAAAAAGCATATTCATCTGACAACAATAAATCACACACTGCTGTGAGTTAATATTAAACCTGTCATTAATATCTGGCCTGTTTGATCAGTAGTTCTTTAGGCTGACTAATTTAAAATGTATCAAATGGAACTGTTTATTTAATAAAATATTAAGCGTTAAAAAAGCTTACTGGGCTTATATGGTACACATGGGTGTTTAAATGGTACACTTTGGAACCTTTCCTAGACTTTTAATTTTAATTAAAATTTAGTCAGTTCTTCACAAAACATAACATCGTGTTTATTTGAGGGATTAATAATCTTCAACTGAATCCTTTATTAGACAGCTATTCCAGTATCTATAAGAACACACAGAAAACTTCTCCTGCATGAATTAAGGTGAGTGAGATGCCTTCATGCAAATACACGCACTTTAACCAACACACAAAAGCAAACAAAGACTAATGGAAACATACTTGCTTGGTGATCAATAATCTACAAGAGATGTGAAGTGAAAGTTTGATGACGTGTAAAGGCAACAAATGTGAGGAGGTTGTAAGTGGTCTAAATGAGGCCTGTGGGTTTCCTGTTTTGACATGTTTAGATGTTGTTGCATAATAGTTTCTTATTTTGATCCACTACAATAAAACAAAGACAGTCCTACAGTTAAAAGTTTATTCATTTTCTCATTGCATGTAAAATGTAAAGCACATAATTTTGGGCTTATCTTCATGTCTGAATCATTTCTGATGCTAATCATACCTATTATCTAACAAACACAAGTTACATTTTATTATCAAATAATGTAGCCTCTCTGCATATCTGTCCGATCATGAAAAGGTTTAAGATTTTCCTATTCACGAAGCCAAATCAGAGCAAAAAAGTCTAAAAGGTAACAAATGATTGGTTCATATTGCACTCACTCTTTTGTTTACACAATAACCCAATTTACCGCCAACCCCTCATGACGCAGGCCGCTTTAGGTAAAACTTTCCATTGATGTGAACCAGTCAGATAAGAGCTGACATCTGCATTAAGACCCTCAGCAGTGTCAGTTATTCACAATCATTCACTGAGATGGAGAGGCCAAGACTTGCTTTGATCGCACTCATGTGTAAGAAAAAAAATTATAATTCTTTAGTTGTTTTTTTAGAGGTTTTTTTTTTAGTAAAATGTCACTACTGTGAATATTTTGATATAATAGTATAATTTGAAGTGCTACATAAAGATATTTTGTACTTTTACAGTTTTCCTGTTTTATCAGAAAATAATCTATGGAGAAGAAGTGGAGATGAAAGTCAAACCAGGAGACAACATCACTCTCTTTTGTGATCGCTCTGTAACTCTTGGTTCCAGCATTGTATGGATAAGAAACTGTTCTCATGAAAATCAACCCTCTTTCATAATAGATTTTAGGAAACTGGACGTGGAGATATTTCAGCGATTCAGCTTTATCCACAACCTCTATAATAATTCTTACGATCTACATATTACTAACATCAGTGTATCTGACCTGGGACTGTACTACTGTGCAAAACTAGAGATAAAGGTAAATGAAGATGGAAAAGGCATCATCTCCTCTTCAGAAGTGTACTATTATGGAAACCAAACAATTCGTCTTTCTCTGGGAGGTAAGAAAACACTTCTGTTAGTCATTATTACACCATTGTTTGTGTAATTCTGGAAAACTTTACCTTCTCATCAAGAAGCAAGATAAACTATATACAGTATATATATATATTATATATATTTTTTTCAACATTCATTGATACATTTGTATTTATTTTATCCTGAGCAAGTGACTTCCTGTTCTGGACCCCTGAACACCACCTCCACCCCACCTCCTGTATCAGACTGTCTGCTCTGCTGGACGCTACTGTTCAGTGTGTGTCCAGTGTGTTGTCTCTTCTCCTCCATCTGTGTATTCTGCCTCTGTTGTAGGAAAGCTACAGGTAATTATTTACAGATTTATACACTTCTTTTGCACTGCCAAAGTGTTACAGATTTTGTCAATGACAAAAGTTTTTTTTTTTTTTTTTATACTGCATGAATTGGAATCCTCTAATTTAAATATTTCATTTTAGATTCTGCAACTGATCAAAAACACAAGCTGAAAGGTAGAAATATTATTGAGGTATGACCAACGAAAACACGCAAGTTTATTCACAATATGGAAGATTTCAATTACTGGCTCTTTTTTTCTTTAGCTTAAAAAGATTGGGTTACCACTTTACAATAAGGTTGCAAATAAATAAATAAATAAATGAATAAAATAAATAATAATAAATAAAAAAAGTTAACGAACTAACATTAACTATCTGTTAATATCATTTAATGAATCTGAGCTTATATGAACTAACAGTGAACAGATCTATTTTATATAAACTTACATTATAAAAGATTAATAAATACAGTAACAAACATATTGCTCATTGTTAGTAAACGTATTAATGCATTGTTAATTAATGTTACATGTAAAAAAAAAAAAGTTACCTAAAATGTAAATATATACTGTAATAAATGTTATATAATTAAATCAAAACATTAATTTTTATTACAGGAGAATGATGATAGCGAGGTGTGTTATGCATCTGTGGACTTGATGACCAGGAGACAAAACCGACACAAGAATACACAAGTGCCCAGTTCAGATATCACTACTTACGCTCCTGTCAGAACAGAAACTGAATAGATTAGAAAGCTGGAGGAGCCGTTATACTTGAAATATTATGTTAACGGCATGTTTGTTGTTTAAAATGTTTGTCTGTGATTAAATCATAGATGAAAAACATGAAGCAAGAATTCTTCTTCTTCTTTATAAGTATTGACAGATAAAAACATTTTCTTTCAGTAAAAGTGTTTTAGTATGTTTCCATACAGGATGAGTAACAGGATGTGGAAGTGGGTTTCCTGTGTTAGCGTTTAGTTTAAAGGGGTCATGAACTACCTTTGTTTTTTAATTTTGTACTGTTCTCTGAGGTCCAATTATTATGTTTTCAAGATTTATATATAAAAAACATCATAATTTAGAAGTAATAAGCTATTTTCTGTCCTTTTTTATCCCCCTCATCAGAACGCTGTGCTTGAATAGGCATGGCGGATTGTAAACTCGGAAGTAAACGCCCACTGCTATGATTGGCTAATAGTTGCTATGTTTGAGAGCGTACATTCCTCATACATGGACCCTGCTGTTATTTAGATCAAAAACACATAAAAACTCAGTACATATCAAATGATCTGTAAGACAAAGCAATAATGACTACATAATGAAAACAGTTACTCACACTTGTGTTGCAACATTACTGTCAGATCAAATATAGTAGGCACAGCATCGTGCATCCGTGGTAAAATGAAGTGAACAAAGGACCAAGTTCTTACTGACGTGGTCTGGATCTTCATTAAAAATAAAATGCATCCAATCTTTCCTAATGTTGGAATCAAAAGGAATGCAATGCAAACAATGTTTTTCCACAACTTGGCACTGCACAGCATCTTGTTGACTTTAGAGCCATCTTTATCATTCGGTTTCTGCATGGACCTGTGTGTTCGCCTCTCGTTATTTACACTACATACAAGAATCGGTGGGTGTGGCTAAACAGGCTGTGATGTCGAAGCAGGCATTGATCTTATTCTGTGGAGGCGGGGTTTAGCCACAGTATTACATCATAGAGTAGAACATTCCAAAAGTTGTTGTTTAGGCAGACTGCCTTCAATATAAGCTGCTTTAACTAACCAGAAAGTTTTGAGTACACCGCACAGACAAACGCCAACAAACACCAACAAACAAGTTTGGCTCAAGTTGGCTGTTGGATTTAGAATTTTATGAAAAATAACTGTCATGTTCACACTGCCCCAACAACAAACTTCGAGTCAAAGAGAGTCAAGTAACACCGTGTCTACACCTGACGCGACAGTTGTCGAATTGCGCCGCATCCAGTGTAGACAGCGTCACTGATTATAATCAATAGAACCTCATTGTATTTTGTCGCGTCACGCCGCTCGCGCCCGGTGAAGATGGTGTAACATCGGGGAAGTCTGACTGGGGAAGAAATGGATGATCCTGTAGCCACAATCAAAATTGTACTGCTATTAATGTCTTTGCATGCCATTCTTCGCCTGAAAGACGGCGAATAAAACGAAAGAGGCCGTGGTTGAAGTTCGCTTTGAGTGAAATATGTGCATCATCATGGCAACGGTTCGTGGCCACATCAGATTACGTCACGTCAGAGTTTGTTGTCGTTTGTTGGAAAATCATTTCACTCTGCTCAGACATTCCACGACCCAACAAACGCCGATTAGGCATGTTCAGTCGGGTGAAAACAAACTCCAACCAACGCCAACAAATGCCAACAGGGGTAAAGACCCGTTCACACCAAGGAAGATATAAAGATAACGATAAAGACATAGTTCTAAAAATCTTTCTCAATATTAAAGAATAGCAGAGTCCACACCACAACTATAACGATAACAAAGAGAAACGATATCGTTAGAATCACTTTCATAACGATTTTTCTCCAGCTGACGAACGATAAAAAATTGACAGCCAATCAGAATCCATCCTGCTGTAACGAGCTCAAAAAT